CCGACCACAATCAACAAGGGGTGAACAACCTCCTGATCCCTCTCTCCAACTTCGAGGGCGGCCACCTCTTTGTGGAGGACAACGCCGGGGATTACCTGTTGGACTCCGTCGGACCCAGAGGACAAGTTCTCCCCGTGACCTTGCCCTACCTTAGTTTTGATGCCTCACGACGACACCTGGTACTGCCATGGACGGGACGCAGACTCATACTCGGTACTTATCACATTCGAGATGCGGACAAGCTCTCCGCGAATTCCGCTCTGTACCTGAAGTACTCAGGTTTCGAGGTGCGTCGCACAGCTACCAGCTCCTCTAGCTTTCAACGGCAGCACAGCTGATGTATAGCAATGCGCTGGCATGGGGGCACTGCCCAGCAGGCTTTCAGCTCAAGCTACGGAGGCTGCTGATCGCCCTCTCTGAGCCGGACGGAAGCACGTCCAATAGCTTAATCAATTTTGACCAACAGCCTCAGCTGCCGACACCTTCCCTGGAGGCTCGGTGACCTGAAAAGACTGCAGATACACACCGCTCTTCTGCCTGCGAGAGACACAACGGATCGCTCATGTCTACTGCTACTGATGCCGACATATTGCCTCTAAGGTCCGACGATGCCCTCAGGCTGCCCCTGCTGACGCCGACCTTCTGGCATGGCCGGACCAGTGCCCCTGCCCACTCGCACAAGCAAAGCTGACTCTGCAGCGCTACCTCAGCGTGAATACACCTGCAGATTTCCTGATGCGCCGCCGGGTTCAAGATCACTGACGGCATCAAGCAAAACATCACACAAGGCAGAGGGCTCAGGGCTTAGATTTCAGGACATTACAGCACGCACAGCCCTAGGCTGCAGCTCTGGCATTCCTGCGCATTTCTTCACCACTTTAATTTCCCTCAGCCTAGTAAGGGCGCGGTGCTCAAAGAGCACTGGCAACTGGGCATGGCAGCTACACCGACAACGCCGAAGCCCTTCTTGGTGCTCAGTGACAGCACCTTGCAACACTTGTTATGGCAGGGGGCCAATGGCCAATCCTACGGAATCGTTGACATGGTTCGGGGTGCAATGCACGGCTACGTCATCTCCTGCCCGGGTACAACTCTCACAGCAGAGTACACGGGTGCGCAGCCACCCAACCCAGCGGTGTTGGAGGTACTGGCCTGGCAATTCATCCGCGTCCTTGGCGAAACGCGATCTTTCCCGGAGGAGAGCCCTGCATTGATCAATTTCCTCCGTGATCATTACTATGACGAGGTCAGCGTGCGCCTGATCCCCATCAGACAAAGCTTATTACCCCATAAGCAGAAGTCCTACGATTGGATCGCGGAGCTAAGGGATCAGTATGGACTGGGACGGTACGAGCTCAGCGATGAGACCATCATGAGTCTCCAAGGCCCTCATCCCCTGGTCGATCAAATATACAACCAAAATAACTGTCACTTTCGACCGACGGTGGCGGATCGCGTCATTGGCTTGCTGGTATCCCGCTCAATTCAAACGATGCGGCGATTGAAGCCAAATGCGATCCACGTTCTGGTTGTGTGCTCATGGAACTGCCAGGGGGACAATGTCCACAAGGAGATGAACGCCACGTTCGACCTTTGCAGCGCGGAGACACTGTCTGAGGTGGGTGCGGTGGCTGCTCGACACACGGGCAAGGCATGGGCCCTCAGACCATTCCTGGAACCCAATGCCAGTCGCCGGCCAATGCCCCGCACTCTTTTTCAGACATACATGCACGATGACCTCCCAGGTCCCAAAAGCATGTGCCGGGAATTCCTGGCCGATTTCGAGCGCTCCTTCTGCAACGATGAGATTTTGCTCGAGACCCTTCAGGTGCATGCTGGAGACAGCGGAGAACACTTGATCAAAAGTCTGAGGCAGCCTGCTCACAAGGCTGATGTCTTCAGGTACGTCTACCACTACTATCATGGTGGCCTGTACCTTGATATCAAGATGGCGCTGCGAATGCCCTTCGATCAAATCTTAGGGCTCCTAGCTTCAGAATGGGACAATGTCCAAGTTCGCAAGAGCAAAGAGCTGGGGCACTGCCCAAATGGAGTGGAAGGGGTTCTGCCCCGGGAGTACCTGATCATGGGCATTGGGGTCAAAAATGACCACATTTTCCAAGGCATCATCTATGGACAACCGCGCCATCCCCTCATTCTCTGCGCTATCAACCACGCTTTCAGCAGGCAAATTCTTGCATCGGTCGCCAACCTGGACTACATGATCTTCTGCAAGGAACTTTGGAAGCTCCTCACGCACGACATGGGCCACACCCCAGTGACAGGATGGAACCAGACCCGACAGTTCGGACCGGTGTATTTGCTCCGCGAGCGACATTCAGCTCAGCTCACCCAGTCCAAAGAGCTTGAGTCCGACGGCCACTACTTTGAGACCCGGACAGGTTCGGGTAGCATTCACCCGATGCTGTGGCTGGCGAAAAGGCTTCAAGGGCGACCCCAGGGCAGCTCAAAGAAATGAAAACTCTCTCATGCAGAGCGTGCCCCAAATCGTCTCGGAGGTCATTGAAGCCGGTGGCGCTGCCTCTGCAGCACCCCATTCAGCACAGGCGGGAGCAATGCTCACCAATGCAGGCGTCAGAGTTGTCGGCGAGACCGTGCTCAGCAGCCTCGAACGGGGTGACTTTGACGCGATCATGGCGGCGGTCGAGAAGGAGCCGCAGTACAACGGCATTTCGGCCGAGGCTGTCCTTCGCAACATCCCCCGAGGCCTGTGCCTTCACCCTGAAGATCCAGACTGGCTTTCCTGCCGCTACTGCGAGCGCGGCGGTCGGCGCTTGAAGTTCCCAAATGAGTTGGGAGTCACACACCACTTCATGCAATCCCGGCATGACCGATCAGTGCCCGAGCCACCAAGCCCTCCGCCTCGCAACAGCATGTGGTCGCAGCGCCCGGCAGAGCCTGCTAACCCTCCCTCAGCTGCAGCCATCGCAGCGTCAGGCCAGGCTCCACCACCACCAGAACCCACGGCGGACCGTCCGCCCCAGTGGAGACCCACAGCGTCGGTGTCTAAGGCACGCTTTGGGCTCGGCCTCCCTCCCATTCCGCCAGGTCCTACCCCACATGCGCAGGGCCACCGGCCTCTTGCAGTGAAACACGAACAAGGGGTCAATGACCAACAGGCGGACATCAAGGATGAGAAACAGGCCACTGCTGTTCCCACGTTGGGATGGGCAGAAGACACTGTGGGCACGCCAGACACTCCGATGCTGCCGGCGAGTACACCGCAGCCACACAAGTCTGCTGGCTCTGGCCAGACAAGTGATAGGCCTTTCAATGCATTCTCAGCCCAGAATGTGATTCCGACGGCTGCCCCCACCACACCTGTGACCTCCACTCCAGCGCAACAGACTACAGCTCGCCGCCTCTCCACCGAGGAGACCGTCCCGCAGACCCCAGGCCCGGCTGACACTACATCATCCTCCCCTGTGGATGCCCCCTCTACGCGTGCGGAGGTCAAATACCAGGGACCGGTCACTACGACCAAGCTGGTGGAGTACAGTGTCAACCCCTCTCCAGAGCAAGAGGCAAATCAACTGCCAAAGCGAGATCAGATTATCCACATCTGCCAGTCTGACCAGATGCTGGAGTGGGTTCATGCCTTCGCGACCATCTCCATTATGAAGGAGCAGGCCATAGTGGGTGGCCTCACGGCCTCCGAGCAGGTCTACCTCTGGACCAATCGGTTTCGGGCACTGGGCAAGGTGCCATGGATCTTCGCCCCGATCAAGAAGGTCGCCACCGATAAAGATGCCAAATGGCTTGACATCACACAGGCGCGGCTCATGGTCGGGGCCAATGGCCTATTCACACTATCGATTGGCCAAGATGATCGCTACACAGAACTCAAATCTACAACGACCTACTATGGCATAGTGCATGCCCTCTTTCAGAAGATGTGGGATCATCCGGACATGAACGCACTGCTCGAAACGGATGACAACTTCGAGATCGTGGCCTCCACCTTCAAATGCATCTATGACCAGTCCTCCAGGAAGAGTGGCGGCCAAAATCGCGCCATCTTCTACCAGCCTCGGGATGGTCAAGTTGTCCGCAAGCTCCGTATCGAACACAACAAGGGCGACACGGCCACCTACCAATGGCATCGTCCGCGCGAGCTGCGTGAGCAGCGCGAACAGCGTGACAAGCGCTCTGGTGAAGAGACACAGTCTCACACAGACAAGCGCTACAGGGACGGCGATGCCTGGACCCGAGGAGGGTGGTGGAATCGTGGCTCGGACTCGGGGGCCAGTGGCAGCCGCTCCTGGCACCAGTGAGCTCCAACTTTGATCACCGGTGCCAATGGCAACCTATGCAGTGCAATGCGGAGGCTTTGCCTGCATTTCCATTTCGTTTCTTCCGGAACGGACTGACGGCCTTTCTGCTGATTGCCGCCGCTGTCAGTGAAAAACATGCCTTAGCCTTCTGCCGGTCGCATTACTGTGCCTCTGCTACTAGTGCTGCACAATCACTATCCTCGTTCAGGTACACACAGCAATCTGAAGCTTGATGCCTGGCCGCCTACAAACTTGCTTCGGCTGACCACTGCCAGTTAGCTGGAAGCCTGTAGGCCGCCAACACCCAAAGGTCTTTGACCTGGGCTGTTCAGCTATAGGGTCTGAGTCAGTTTCACACCATGTGAGTGCACCGCGGCAATCGCCCGCTATGTGCTGAGCCCGCTCGCACAGCATTCAATTGAAAATAGTAGTAGTAGTACTAGTAGTAGTAGTAGTAGTAGTAGTAGTAGTAGTAGTAGTAGTAGTAGTAGTAGTAGTAGTAGTAGTGGTAGTAGTAGTAGTAGTAGCAGCAGCAGCAGCAGTAGTAGTAGTAGTGGTAGTAGTAGTAGTAGTAGTAGGAGCGGGAGCAGAACAGGAGCAGGAGGAGCACTTGTAGTAGCTGCGTAGCTGCTGAGGGCACTGGGCGAGTACGCGACAAGGCTGTGGAAACCGGCGGCTTGCGACTAGACGAGCATGCTGCGGCACCTTCGACGAGCGAAGGGTGCATGTTCCCAGAGAGGTCTTCAGGGTGACCTTGCCGGACGAGACAGAAATCAGGAACCAACCTTTAAATACGAGAGTCATAGGGAAATCTCCTACACATAGACACCTCCAGACCGGAGCCTCCTAACTAGTGGTCGTCATACACGCAGATTTGGGAGGCTCCAGACTGCCTCCTCGTCTGCATCGCCGAAGTAGCCGGGCAAGGCGCCATCCGAGAAGTCCACGTCGACCATGGGGCCATCCCTCCATTCGCCAGTCAGCTCATACACCCGGCCAGGTATTGCCAGTGCGCCTGACATATAGCTTTTTGGGGGTTGACGGCCTAGGCTATGCAGAGTGCTTAGTCGGGGAGTGCAGACCTGCATTGCGGCAGGGTACCCTGCACGGCACATCCACGCCCTTCGCTACAGACTACTCCCACTTCTTGGCGCTCACATCTCTGTGAACAAGTTCGAAAAACAATTCTTTCGCCGTCCCGCCCCGCCCGACCAAAACCCCAAACATGCTCTGCCCCACCGTAGCCGTTGTAGTTCATCGCATAGGAAAGGAGTCCGGCATTCCCACCGAAGCTGGGGAACTGGTAGTTCGGAGCTACCCCGGTGAAGCCCGGTCCAGAAAGCCTCACAGCTCCGCTAGTGCAATAAAGCCCTGTTTACAGCTTCGATTTCAAAAACCCCTATACCATTGCTAGTTTGCGCAGAAACAACAGACACGGACAGCCACCCGCAAAAAAGAAACTAAACCGCAAATCCTGAACCCTGAATCTCATATGCTAAACCCTAAACCCCACTACTCGCTGCCGGATGTCTGAACGTCGCCAGCCACGGCTGCCGGTGTCCAAACGCTGAGGCGTCGCACAGGGAAATTGCATCCAAAACCAGAGTCCCAGTCCAACCCCAGCTTCTCCTGGGCTTCGGCTTCGGAGTGCACTCTCTTTAGCATCTCGGGTCGATTGGGACGGTGACCCAAACCAAAGGAGATCTCGAGATGGGCCTTTCGAGGCTCTTAGAGATGTTATGGTCAGTGTGATCCTTGCACACTTGCAGACATGTGACCACACCAACCTGCAGCCAGCCTGATGCCTAAACACCCAGAACGGCCCTGGACCTACAGCACTGGACCTAAAACTTGAAGCTCGAAGGGATATGTTTCTGTCTGTCTGAGGCACACATCCCTGATCGAGGAAGCCATCGAGATGGCTGCCTGGGATCCCCTTTAGACTATGGGGCCTTGTTAGTTGATTATTAGCAAAGAGGCTTTTGAGCTATATCTTAGTGTACCGACTGAGAGACAATACGGGGATACTACAACTTATATTTAGCACTACTTAGCCAGATTCCTTTGTTCTGAGCAGGGTGTGTGCTTGATTGGCTCAATGGCAGGTTCAGGACTTGAGGGCTTCCGGGGCTTCGCTTGTTTTTTGAGTGGTCTTCGGGCTTGGGATCTGGGGCCTTGAGGATTGGCTTTGAGTCTTTAGGGCTTGGTGGCAAAACGTTTCTTGTTTCCCTAACCCCAGAAGGGAAGCAACTAGAGAGCCGAGCAGCAGCGACACAGTTGCCCTGTATCGCAGGGTAAAATACCCCGCCATGTCTGTCTGAGTATTGAGGTTCTCGCCTTCACGACCCTGAAGCACGCCCTGAACACTGCACAAACCCACAACTCCGCATCCTGAATCCCCAGCCTGCCCCCACCTTCAACCCTGAACTGCAGACCCAAAAGTCCCTCAAGAAAAAGTACTACTGATCGACCCACTGGCTCACAATTGATCGGAAGCCCCCGAGGGAGCCATCGCGTGCCAGGAAGACCGGCAGCACCTTGCCCTCGGGCTTGCTGTTCACCTCGCGTCGCCGAGAAGGCATAATTTAATGCCGAAGAGGAGAGGCTGCAGGAGCTAGTGCTGCAGAAGGGTGACAGTAGTGACCGTTGATGCTGTTGCTGATCATGGGTGCGACGATGACGATGACGGTGGACATGCAGCAGAAGTCATCTGCTTCATGCCAGCGGGATGCAACTGCACCAAGGGTTGGGATGCGGATGCTGAGGTTTATGAGGGTGGTGTCGGAAACTGTGTGATCTTTGCTGACTCTAGTCATGATGATGACGACAGTTGTAGCGACTCTGCGAACCAGTGGCATGGCTAGATATGAAAACGCACCAGAAGCAAGCAATACTAAACACTTGAGTCTTGTCTTTGCTCTGCAGGTCATGTGCCCCATGCGAGGAGGCGAGCAGCCCCGAATTGGATGAGCTTCGTGGACTTGGACACGGCCGAAAAGTCCACGTCCTCATTCGCGCGTTTGTCGGGTTGGGGTCGGGAGGCCGAGGACTGTTTCCCTGCGCGGATCTGTTGGGACGCAGCCCGATGAAGAAACCTGTAAGCCGTCTCCGCCATTCTTCACGCTTTGGAGAAGTGTTTAACATCCTCAGAAAGGCACCACACACATGACATGACCCCCGTCATCATTCTTTTACCGTCATACTCAGGTGTTGCTTAGACAGCTAATTAAACCCTAATCTTCCACCCTAATTACCCCTTTCTGAACCGAACCCCAAACCCCAAGACCAATAAGGCTTAATCTTCCAAACCTCTAAGCCCCAAACCGCACATCAAGTATCCTCTATGGCCCTAACTAAACTCCCAAATCTTACGTCACAAGTCCAAATGCCAAAAACTTATTCCTAAACCCCCAATTCACGGAGAGTCTGCACATCCCGCAGACTCTGCACTGGCCGAATGTGTGAGTTTTCGTTGGTTTCTGCATTTAGGGCTTTGGGGTTGGGGGGTGTGGGCGCTTGGCCTTAAGGGCCCGCATTACAACGGCTCTAAGGCGTGGGGTGTAAGGCTTTAGGTCTTATAGGGCTTTGGGGTAGCTGCACGCTTCTACATGGACAACGAGACATTAAGAAATGTAGGCTCGCGGGTCGAGGCTATGTACCTTCTCATATGAGGCCTGTAGGTTTGGTGGTGTGTAGGGTTGAGCGGTTCAAGCTTTGCAAATGTGGTGTGTGCCCTCTGTCACAGGGCTTCGCATCGTTGAGGTTTGGGGCGCAGGGGTTTGGGGTATTTGCACTGGACTGCAGTGCTTTACGGGTCTTGAGCTGCGGGGTCGTGACATGACATTCTCTTAAAGGGGTTCGCGGCCTAGGGTTGCAGAATTGTTGGCGTGGTTGGACTTCGTTTGTGCTGAAATGCAACCCCAAACCTTAAGCACTGCACACCCAACAACAAAGAAGTAGGATGTAGGTTGAGGGGAGACTCCCGGCCTTCAAACCCGTACGAGTCTCATGCTCATAGATGTGCGTGATACATTGCAAATTACGCTGCGCTGTAACATGCTATGCGGGTTGTTGCAGAATAATATTTCCAAGCTTTTCAACCCAAAGGTCCTCCAGCAGGTACTGAACGTTGCATGGTCCGCCGGCTCCGCCATCCATACCTAGACGGCGAGCTATCTCCAGCAAGATAGGTTCATGTTTAAATTGTTTAGCTAGGCTACCTTGACAGCATAGGTGCATTCCTTACAACAAAAACCCTGGACCGACCTCGGACGGTATGACACGAAACCGAACTACAACATCTGATTAAGCCGATGTGGGTGCAGTGCTGCCCAGCGGATAGGGCGCCGCTGGCCTTAGCTCACGCAGAAAGAAAACTACATCCCAAATCAATGGAACCCTGAGCAGAGACTATACAGAACTACGCACCCACACTCCAACACAAACTACTACTGAACATATGGCAATAAATGAGGACATATATGCAGAACCGTATGCGTATGTACCTGCACATGGAATACTGTCGTGTGTGTATATATATATATGGTAGATCCATGGGATATGTATATCTACACATATAATTACGTATTTATATGTTTGTATGTGTGTAGGTATGTATGTATGCCTGTATGTACACACATGCATATACACATACGTACTTGTGTGTAATTACATATGACATGTCGTCCGCTACCCACTTCATACCGGAACATGTGCAAACATCTGTGTATTCGGTGTATTGCAATGTTTCCCTGACAGCGCTAAGAGTTGTAATTTTACTAGTGCAGTTGCGTAACATGAAACGAAGAACTACCTACCTAACTACGGGTTGATGACCCAGAAGTCACCCGGATGCTGAAGGAACTGAACCAAGTCGCACCAGGGTTGCCCACAAAGGTGACATTCTTGAGGCCAAATGTGAAAGCCCCGGCAGGTCCGAGGAATTGCCCGGCAGGCCAGGAGAAAAGGCCGCCACCTGGACAGGCTGGAGAAGGGTTTGGGGCCTAGGGCTGTTGAGGCCATTTGAATATGCGGCAATGAATACAAGGTATCACACGGGCAGAATCATCGGATCCGGAACCGTGGCGGAAGATTCGAATGCACATGTCAACGGGAAATCGGATATTGCTGGCAATAAGTTGGGCCGCACGGTTGATGTAATTATACAGGTCACATTTTCCACATCTGCCTTTCATCAGCTTTTTAGCATGGAAATCCAAATTCAAGCGGAACTTGGTAGGGAAGTAAGCGACATTCAATACAACGCCAGGGTCGATCACGTGTTTATCTTCATGAGTATATGCGGAATTCCACAAGACAGAGTTTTTGTGGAATTCCACATGATACTGTTCATGCCATGTGGAGAGGATGGAGGAAGGCTTTGGACTTGGACAGGATAGTACCAGATCTTTGCAGCGGCCCCAACAATCGCCGCCTGCAAACGATGTCTTGCTTCTTTACAAGCTGAAAGTCCGAGTTAGTGCGTCTGTTCTGTTACAATCGACAATTTCACGTACGTTATCAAAAGCACTGCTTTTCTCATGTGGGTAGCCCTGCATTCGACAGCATGCTAGGGCTATGGAACAACATTGCGAGCATGATGTTGTGGTACGCCCTGTAGCCAACCCACTGTTTTGCAAAACGTACCGTCAAAACTGAACACCGTGTGAGTACGGAGTTGCAGTGCAACCAAGACACTGGGTACATTAATGCACATGGAGTCCGCCACGTGGTACCGCCCTTCATCCGCAAACTTCTTCGACGATTTCCAGTACATGCAGTGCATGTTGTTTATACCGACATAGCGCACATAACGGACGTCTGTCAAAATGTACTGGCCCACGAACTCGTTGTGCCAGTCCAACTCGTCTTCGACGACGTTGGCTGGAACCACACCCGCGTCTTGTCCAGTGGGAGTCACCTGCCGCTTTCCAACATGCAGGCCTCTCGCTACTTTCTGGATGAATGTTTAAAGTACCACTGAAAGGCACGGCATCTAGAGATTTGGAGACCGGCTAGACAGCGTTGGGATCCCCCGCCTCATTAAAACAGCTAGAGGTTGGATCGTGAATATCTGCCACAAACCCGTTCTCATCTCTCGGCAGCATACGGGGCTGCTGGCTGTCGAGGTACATGCCTGGGCCGATTCATAGCAGACGGACAAGGGTCTCAACTGACGACACCAGTTCGGTGTTTTCAACATGCATAAGCTGAGCATGGTCAAAGCTCAATGCTGTGAAACCTTGTCCACAAACAGTAACGAGTCTCTCAAATTAGCTGATGGGGTTCGGGCACTGTACCACTTGTTAGTGTCTTCGTAGGATGTCTAACCACCAGACATCAACATTGCTGCCCAGATGCCGAAGCGCCGGTTGTCGTGACACACATTGCCACGTATGCGGCCCAAAGGCAGGTGCACAGGGCACACCTTGCCTGTGAACGGAAACCGCTTCTCATGATGTGGCTGCCCCCAAACTCTGAACGAGCCATTAAAAATGTGCGGGGTTCTCGAAATTGAGTTTAGGGTATTCCTGACAGCAGTCCCCCAAAGTTAAAGTCCAAACTGTAACAACCCCGGCGTCGTCTAAATTCGCCTCGGTCCGCCGAAGCGGTCAGAGTTTCTTACAGGGAATCCCCGTCAGCGGGGCCACTGCCCCCTCCCCCACGTCTGATTGGATTCCGGGTTGGAAACCCCAACGTCCAGAAATTCTGCTGGCGAAGAGTGGGCTTGCCGGGAAACACCCCAATTTTGGGCCCCCAGAGCCAACCCCCGCTGCCAACCCGCCGCCTGTGTGACCCCTCGTCTCTCCTTGCGGCCAGGCAAGACAGGCTAGCTTACATCATTCGTGCAGTTGATGCCAAAGCCTGAGAATTGTGGTGCCGTGTATTGTACCTAGTTGCAAAGCTTGATTCCCCTTCCAACATATGGGAGGCCATACACGAGACCAGTGAGAAGGGTACTGCGATTCGTTCTTATAGTAACGTCTACGGGATCATGCAGGGAATGTATCACCTTGCGAGTGGGATTAATGCTCATGCAGGGCCTCAGCGTGGGAACGGTTACCAAATCCGCTCTGTCCCTCAGACCTCATCTGTGTGATATACTTTTTGCTTTGCGAAACAATGCACCTGCTTCGAGTACAGCCGGGCAGAGGCGGACGACACGAAGCGATTCAAGTTTTAAGTGTTACAGTGAACACACTAAGCCCAAGACAGCAATCTCCAGCAAATTCCAAGCCCTCCACAGCAGAGGCTAAGCATTCGCTGGGCCACAGAGTCTGTGGGGCACAAATACTGTGCGTGCCTAATGTCTGCTGTCTCGGGTTTTTGTGTTGTGTGCTAGTTCTTGCAGCTGCCGCGTCCAACGCAACCGTGATGCAGTCTGTAAGGTAAAGCTGACAGCATGCCCGCAAACCAGCATCAACAACAGAACTCATGTATGTCATAGCCATAACAAGACACATGCAGCGGCTGCACAAATGAGGGGAATCTTCTTGCACAAGCGTTGCTGCCTGTGATTGTGCTTTATAGTTTGTGTGTTGCTTTCCCAAAGCTAGCGTACAGTGTTCGTGAATTTGATGCCAAGGAGTCTGGAGCCGTGCTTCCCGTACTTTGATTCCCTGTTCCGTTCGCCATACTCTAGCCTTCAAAGCCTCTCTTGTCAATCGCCTCGGCTTTGGAGTCTTCGTGAAAACATTCTGAGGCAGATGCTCTGATTCACTCAAGACCTCGGCATGACATGACCTGGTGCTTTCCGAAAACAATGCGCCTGCTTCAACTACAGCCGGACCGAGGCGGAACACCCCAAGCGTTAACAATTATGTGGCTGCTTCTTGGCTTTTGAAAAGCCGCTTGTTGGAGGCGCAACATGCGAAACCAAAGCACAAACTTGTTGAGCGACGGAAACATGTTGAAGGCCTGCCATACAAACGGCTTGAGTTTCTGATGCCAGTGTTGTCTGGTTGCGTCTCAGTTCTGGCTCCAGAAAAAAAATGAAAAACTCCGGACTGCTACCGCCCAAACTGCCACAGCCCACAAGCCCAAAATCCTGCGACCCTTTGACTTGGCACCCCAGCAAGCTGCAATCCCGAAAGCCTCGGCCCTGAAACCCAACTGCACATCCGGTGCCTTGCCTGCTGCATGCCCCCGGCCAGCTGGATCTGCCGTGCCTGCAAAAGCACGCAAAGCCGCTGTGCGCAGTAGCCGAAACTAGTTTACCTGTGTCCGTATTTCTTTATGTTCAACACTACCACAAAAGTGAATGTATACATGCGTGTCCGTTTTGGTAATGAGCTCACAATGCCACCCATAGCCCACAGGAGTACAAGAGCCTTGTGCTCACTCAAGAACCCAGCCAACATTGTGTCCCATGTCGTGAGCCCGTTGCAGCCAAATCATCCGCTTTGCAACCCAAGTGTTTCCTGTGCAGATACCCTGCATGGAGGCGTTTAGGTAATTAAGGGTGTGAGAAGCGGGTAGCCCTTAAGGCCAGCGTGTCGCGTTGGTAGGTGCAGCCGGATGAGTGGCTGTACTCGCCGGTGCGGGTGGGCAGTATATATTGACCAGGTATAAGGTCATACACAAAGGGTTTGGAGTTTTAGGTATGCATTCTCAGCCCCAAATTTCAAATGGCTAGGCATTGGTCTTGCAGCGAAGCGCCCAAAGCTGGAAAGATCACCGTGGCTGATCGGCCTTTTAACTTGAAGACACATCAGCTTACAACAAAAAACAACACACAGGCCCTGAACAAACCGGGCAACTTATCCCTAACATCCTGTTGCAGACCTTTAGTGCAATAACGGATCCAAGGTGGCTCAGGCCTTTGAACCAAAAGCAATTCTCCATGTTCACAACGCGGTTCCTGCAGCGACATGTCACACTGAGTAGTTTGTAATTTGGGCTTGGGGTAAGTGTCAATTCCTTCACGCATTGACCTGAATCTTCAAAGATCGAGCAGTTACTCTGACTTGGCCAGCACCGGATCCTGGTACGACCTCATGAGTTTTGCTGGGCTTTGCAGGGTACGATTCCCTCTCCTCTCTCTGTCTCTGTATCTTTATTTCTGTCTTTCTTGCTTTATCACCTTCTCTCACTCTCTCTCGCTATCTCCCTCTCTCTCTACCTTTCTCTCTGTACACATGAAATATTTTTGAAATTGTTTCAATACAAACAGAAAGACACAGATAAATACGTACCTATCAACCAGACTTTGCCACAAGATCTCTCACGAGCCATGAAGCTCCTGAAGGCTGGACCCTGTAACCCTGAACTCGAATAGCCACCGAACCCTCTACGCCACGAAAGCCGTACGCCTTAGACTATTTCGTTCCTTAAAGACCACCGCCAAGCGCCTTATGAAATCGTTGGTCATGCCAATAACAAAGAAGCCGCCGAGCCGGCCACCCTGCACTTCTTTTCAGCTAGGGTATGTGCTGTTCGAACTTACGGTTTAAGCTGTGATGTCGAAGGGTCTGGGTTTCAGAGAGCTGATCCGGTCTTACACTGATTAATGTGGAATGCCGAGTGCCGATCATATTGGCTTTGCAGGGGTACATACATATTATATATATATTACACATGCCAGAAGTGCTGTAGTGACAAGATCACCGGAGCGACAGAGTGACACAGTCAAACGCTATCCGTTGTCACACTCTGGCTTCCACCACCGTCACCGGCTTGAGCGCGGACAGCACCGGCTTCGGTAGTGCAGCAAGAGTGGGCTACTGCACAGCTTGGCATGCATACATACATATACGCCCACGCACGCACACACACACACACACACACACACACACACACACACACACACACACACACACACACACACACACACACACACACACACACACACACACACACACACACACACACACACACACACACACACACACACACACACACACACACACACACACACACACACACACACACACACACACACACACACACACCCACACACACACACACACACACACACACACACACACACACACACACACACACACACACACACACACACACACACACACACACACACACACACACACACACACACACACACACACACACACACACACACACACACAGCACACACACACAACAACACACACACACACACACACACACACACACACACACACACACACACACACACACACACACACACACACACACACACACACACACACACACACACACACACACACACACACACACACACACACACACACACACACACACACACACACACACACACACACACACACACACAACACACACACACACACACACACACACACACACACACACACACACACACACACACACACACACACACACACACACACACACACACACACACACACACACACACACACACACACACACACACACACACACACACACACACACACACACACACACACACACACACACACACACACACACACACACACACACACGGAGACGCACACAAATGTGAATATAACAAACACAAACATCCCCTTGCTATTATAAGGGGCTTTGGAAGCTTTGTTCATGGAGTCTTCGCTCTTGCAAGACGAAACTTATTATGTTTGCATGTGGGTGGCGATGGGATTGGTCGATTCGGGTTTAACGGTTTCACGGTGGTTGCTGGGTTTGAGGAACTGGCTGTAGTGGTGTAATAGCAGCAGTTGCAGCTGACACAGGCACCGAGTCCGAACAATTTAGCACACGTCAATGCCACTGAAGACTTGCTGCTTCCCATCGTTATGTAAGGCTTGATTTCATGTGTTGGGCCTGGTTGAACATGTCGTAGGTGCAGCCCCGTCGAGCTTCAGGGCAGATGCCCGTGTCGCCCTTGTTGCAAGGTAGGGGGTTGATCGGCGGCACCTGGCACTTGCATCGTGGCATTTGAATCCTTTGCAAGCTTCGCTGTCGTCTACCAATGAAGGTGCCTCGACAGCCCTGCCACTGGCGCGACGACGACGACACTATGACGATGATACCGACGACAACGACGAAGGCGAAGACGCAAGACAACTTCAACGACGACCATTGATGTCAGCTCTTGTACAACTGGCAACAAGTCCGAAAACGCAGACAACCTCATAAGCTCTAGTTTAGCGCCAAAACAGGCCCGACCCATCCGGGTCCGGACCAGGCTTCAGCAAGGATTGAAACTTGGCAGGTGGCCGTTGACTTCGCATTCTAATGTGACTAGTTTGTGCGGTCGACGGTTTGGCAAGAAGCTGAAGGGAAAGTGCTGGGCAGGAGCACCTGATGCATGCATATCAAGATATTCTCCTCAAAGGTATTGTTCATCTCGTTACCATCCTCAAGGTCGGCTTTCGGAGTCCGACACGCTTTCAGGGATAACTGCGTGCGACACAGGCTGTCGGGAACTTCACTCCAACATTCGAGCTGGAAGCCTCAGGCTCACTACCGGTGTAGGGTTTGGATTCAGAGTGTAGGTGTGCGGGGTTATGGGTTTGGCTATCTTCACCTGCTTCACAACAACAAACTGCCCATGTCCTCCACATACACGCCGGCAGACATGGTGTTCCAGAGGATGTTGCTCGACACCCTGGCTTGGTGGGTGCCGTGGACCGTGATGCCGACCTTTCGGGGCAAAACGAAAGAGCGAAACGAAGCAATCGTGTTGCAATGATTTCTTCTTGCCGGCTCTGTTCTGAGTCGGCTTTGGGTGTGTGCAGGCCAAGACGAGCTCATTGGGCCCCAGAAAAAATGACTGATCTTGTGTGTACATCTGTCGCTGCACTTGCATTGCCACGAACTCTTTTTCGGCTTCTTGTCCGTATGAAAATGTGATCAGTTGCTTCCGCGACAGTACAAGTATCATGGTTGCATTTGCGTGTCGCTTCGACCTTGTAGTTAACATATTGGGAGCACTCTGAGGCCGCTAGCTACAAAAAAACTCATTGAAGACATGAACTCATTGACGTCAACACGTCCTCTGTGTGAAACAAGGGGCTGGCTAGGTCGTCCGAACAGGCAGAATCAAAAGGCAAAGCCCGTCTTTGCCTGTGTGGAGTTGACCACGGCGTTGCCGTGGAGGACACAGCGGGGGCAGCGGTGCATCAAGTGGAAATGCAGGCAATATCTCCTTAGGGTGTAGGCTTTGGGTTAAGGTTCGGAGCGGTTTGAGCATTCAGCGTAGGTGCCGGATTGCAGACGGTTCACAAGCCCGGAACCTACTGCTAAATCCTGAAGCCCTTGGTCTGGGACTGACAGATTTAGGGATGCTGGCACCTTGGACCCATAGTGACGACCCGACCCCCACGCGCCCTGAATGGAGACCGGTCTCGAGGTGCAACATTGAAGCTTTGACAGTGCTGCAGCTACAGGCCGATGTGGTCTGGGGTTTCGTGGTGTTTAGGGTTGCGAGAGGGTTCTACCTGTGCCGCAGGTGCGAGTTCGGTGGCAATGATTTTCGGGACTGGTGCAGTGCCGAGGCGATGGGTTTCGCGTGGATTTGCTCCCGTGGAACCCAAACCCCAATCCCGAGACCCCAACCGCTTCGTCGAAGGCTAAGCTGCCCCTGATGCGGTGGCTGCCCACAATTCTCCACGCGGATGTAGCGAGCGTCCATGAAACCATGGCCGGTCATCAGTGTATGAAGCCCCTTCCAATCCTTGGCATCGTTATAAGGGGTCAATGGCTTAAACTCCTGGCTTTGAGGCGCAGATGTTTGGGTCTTGTGTGCCGTGGGGCTTGTTTTTTGTTCCGTACGGGCATCGTCTATACAGTTTGTAGGGATTGCTTGCCAGTATTGGGTCTAAAGACAATCTCCAAAAGCCTCTATAGAAGCCTTAGGACATACCACTCTGTACAGGGACTCTGTATATCTAGTATTGATTTCTCAAATCTCTACAAGCCTCTGAGAGTCCAGTTGGAGGCCTGGGATGGGCTAGTATTCCTTAGCCGCCCGTGAGGACGCTGTAAATAAGCCTTGGCTAGGAAACGTGTCTGGCAGAACGAAAGTTAGTTGATCGTGATGTCGACTGGTACCCCACCAGCTTCAAGCTTTGGGGCGAAACAGATTTCGGTAGCCAGGGGCCTCCAACCTTGCAACCGGGGGGACAACATCATATGGCAGGGAGCATGTTGGCTGATGTTGCTTCGGCTTCAAGGGTCCGGGCTCACGGAGAACATGTGGCATAAGGTATTGATCGTTACCAAGCATGGTTCATTCCCTCGGTTTGTGCCACAATCATGACCGCGCAAGCTCTTAGGGGCGAAATGCTCCTGCACAGGAGAGCTCTGCCAACATTCCAAGACTGAATCCCGAGTCCCGGCTTGATAAACCCTAGCAATGGTCACGCTTAAATCTGCCAAGGCAGACAACGGTCTCACATCGCAAATGACCGAACTGAGCACCAGGGTCTGGCAGGCTACTGTGGGCATCTCAAACTTGGCACCAGGCACTTCTAAGCGAACCCAGCTCTCCCGAAGCTTGAAGCTCCTAAGTCGCAACTCCTGCCGTCAACTCTCCGTCCCTGAGCCCTTGAAGCCCTAAGCCCCGACTCAAAATGCGCGAGACTCGGCCGTGTCCCAATTGGGCGGCCCGGTGATGACCACAGATCTCTGCAAGTTCACGACTTCAGCTGCGAGCTCGAAGCTCTTGTTGAAGTCCTTGGATTCGAGGAGAGTCGGCTGAAAGTCCCATCATCTATCTGACAGGTCCGTAAGGATGCACACTGTAACGCACTGCGACCTGCCGATGAGGATGGTTCAGTTGAAGCAGTTGGCTAAATGGTGATGTTCTTTCTGCTAGCAAGCCAGAAAAGAGCTCGACAAGCAATGCGACAATTGAGGGCGGGTTTTCAAGCTCGAACCCAACTAGCGGCCTTTCAGAGAGGCTCCCTGGTGCTAGTGCAGGACCATGTTGCAGCTAGCAGCATCAATAACAGAGCTAATGACCACATCCAGACCACACAAAACAGCCTGTTCATTACAGTTTCCAAGCTGTTATCAGCATATCAGGGGCTGCACTGAGTAGGAGCAGCCGTCAAATTCAGCCTACACCCTTCGCCCCGAATCGACAGCAATCTATGCCCTTTTGCCTCAGGCTTCTGTGGGAGTCCATTCAACTCATGACCTTGCAGTTGAAACCCTAACCAATGTTATTTATACAATGCGTTCGAGCACCTCGGGCTCGACACTTGGCGACCAGGGATCCGCGGAAGATCGACCGGAAGCGTGGTGAATCGGTCGCCAACCTCCCCAGTAGTCTGCCGCCGCAGGCGGATCAATCTTGACCTGAGTGGTGTTTGCGCCTACTCCTTCTCCTACTCCTACTCTGCTCCTATACTCCTAGTACTACTCCTACAACAACAACTACTACTACTGCTACTACTACTACTACTGCTACTACTACTACTACTACTACTATAACTATACTACTACTGCTACTCCTGCGACGACGAGAACTGGTGAAACTTCGCACTGCCTGCTTCCTATCGGAGGCCAGGCCAAGTTGCTGTCTTGCTGCCAGCAAGGCCGAGTTCCACGATCTTGTACGGCTGCCTTGTAGTAGTCGTAGTAGTAGCAATAGCACCCCAAAACCTAAACTGCAGTAGTGGCAGCAGTAGTATGCGTCGACGTAGCCGTACTAGCAATAGTAGTAACAAACATACATAACAGCAGTAGTAGTAGTAGTAGTAGTAGTAGTAGTCGTGGTGGTAGTAGTAGTAGTAGTAGTAGTAGTAGTGGTAGTAGTAGTAGTAGTAGTAGTAGTAGTAGTGGTAGTAGTGGTAGTAGTAGTAGTAGTAGTAGTAGTAACAGTAGTAGTAGTAGTAGTAGTAGTAGTAGTAGTAGTAGTAGTAGTAGTAGTAGTGGTAGTAGCAGTAATGGTAGTCGTCGGTGTCTTAGAAGAAGAAGTACTGGTGGTTGTTGTTGTCGCCTTAACTACTGTTGCTAGTGTTGTTATTGTTGTTGGTCTTGCGATGATGGTTGTCGTCGTTGTCGTTGTCGTAGTGGTTATTGCTATTGTTATTGTTCTTGTTGCTGCTGTCGTTGTTGCTGTTGCTGTTGCTGTTGCTGTTGCTGTTGCTGTTGCTGTCGCTGTCGCTGTTGCTGTTGGTGTTGTTGTTGTTGTTGTTGTTGCTGTTGTTGTTGTTGTTGTTGTTGTTGTTGTTGTTGTTGTCGTGATGGTAAGCCTCTCGGCTCAGGAAAGGTCAGGCTAGTACAGTTGCCTTTTTCCTTTCTTGCCATGGCATTTGTCAGCGCCTGAGCAGTCCCGGTCCCAAGTCCGGGAGGGAGTATTAGATTTACAGCTCTCTAACATCTCCCAGAGGTGAGGGTTGTCGGTATTGCGAAGCCGACAGGAGCCGTACTCAACATGAGTGCTGCGAAACAGCCTAGTGGTTCGACCAAGCATCAGCCCGTTCCTAAAGGGAAGGGTAAACGCTCTTATCAAAGGGCAGCACGTAAAGCTCTGCTTGAAGGTAGTGCGGTCTACAAGGGAAGGACGATGTCGTCAACAGAGCTTGGAGTTGCTCCGGCACATGTAAAGCCCACCAATCCCGGCAGAAGGACTCGGCCTTCAAAATTTACAGAAGATAAGAATCTCAGCTATCTATCCTGGAACGCAGGATCTCTCACAACAGCAGTTTGGGAAGAGTTACTCTCCGTACTGCAAAGTGCCGCATTTCAGGATGTGAAGCTGGTAGCAATCCAGGAAACGCACTGGAGGGGCTCTTGGCAATTCAGCAAGTCAGGCTGGCACGTGATCAGCTCTGGTTCCACAGGGGAGAAGGGAGCCGGGGTCCTCATAATGGTGCACTCCACGCTGTGCAAGTCACAGGATCTTCGCTACAACGAGGTTGTTCCAGGAAGAGTTCTCCAGGTCCGGGTGCCGAGCAACGGCATCTCACTGGATGTCTTCAGCTGCTATCAATACGTTTGGCGCTCTAAGGAGACAGTCGCTCAGAATAAGGAAACCCGGAAGCAGACCCTTCACGCCCTAAGTAAGTCCATCCGAGCTGTTCCCAATCGCAACACTCTCCTTGTGCTAGGAGATTTTAACTCCTCGCTCAAAACCGACAACAAACACGTAGGGCCATGCACGATCCAGGCTTGCAGACTCGGGCATCGCGGATCTAAGGATCTCCAGACCCTACTGTCGGAGCACCAGCTAGTCGCAACCAACACTTGGGGAGTGCATAGACCAGCCACCCACGAACAAGGCAATTCTGTTTCACAGATTGACTTCTCGTTTGTCAGGATTGCACAGTCCCAAGGCCCCGCCAGGTTTTGCCGGCCACTAAGGACCTTCCCAGTTGCATCCTGGAGGGATGGTAGTAGGCATTTCCCTCTTCTTGGTAAACTGAGGCACAGCAGGAGATACTCCGCCCAAGCCTCAAAACCCTATGACCAGCAGGCAATGGAGGACTGCTACAGACACCGTTCCCCGAAAATACAGGCATTTGCCAGGGAGGTAGACTCCCTCCTTCAGGATCATCCCCAAACCTGGCAGAGTCTCCATCAAGCAATGAACTCAGCCCTCGCGACTCACTTTCCCAAGAGAAAGGAAGCAGCACAAAGATCAGATCTCAGCATCTGGGAAGAGCGCTCTGCGTTGCGCTCACTCCCACTAGCAGTCAAGGTCTTAGCAGAGTTCTTGCCCGAGCTGCAGGTCCGTATGGTGTTCCGATGCTGGTGCACGTTTTCCCAGCAAAGTGCACAGGCGAGGGTAGCAAAGCGTCACAAGCAGGAGCGGCGGCGGCAGGAAATAGATGAACAACTCCAGCAGGCAGAGCTTAAGTCCAAGCAGGACGGGAGTCATTCCCTTTACAAGGTAATCAAGCGCTTCAGGTCGGGGAGGCCCCAGGAAAGAGTTCAGCTTCGTGATTCTGAGGGTCGCTTCCTTACTGCCAAGGAAGAAAGAAGACAATTAGAGGAATATTCCCTAGACCTGTTTGGAGCAGGGGATGACTTCCCGCTTTCAGGGATACAAGGCAGCCTGCACATCACTGAGCAAGAAGTGCAAGAACAGCTTGGCACAATAAAGCTGGGCAAGGCGGTTCCTAAAGAGAGTCCTCCCGTAGTAGCCTGGCGCTCCCTAGGTCCCCAAGCAATCCGGCTAATCTCGGACACCCTTAATAGGGAAGTCACTGCAGGAAGGCTCTCGGACAGTGTCACCTCGTCACAGATCTCCTGGCTCCCAAAGCCTCCCAAGAAGCCAGACAAACCAACCTCACTCCGTCCGATCGGGGTGATAGCACCTGAGGGTAAGGTCCTAGCCGGACTCGTGAGGAAGAGACTCAAGTCTACCCTCCAGCTAGCAATGACCGGCGTCTCTCAGTTCGGCTTTGTCCCAGGCAGGGGCACAGAGGAGGCTATCTGCAAGGCCCTCACACATGTGGACCAGGCCAGGTTCAGACAGGCCCTCACCACTAGGGCTGCAGGTAAGGGACAACAGGGGCTCAAGCTCAGAGGCAGTCTCACCATGAGCGTGGACATGAGCAAAGCCTTTGACACTGTCAACAGGCTGCGACTAAGAGAGGCCCTGGAAGCCGAACAAGCAGATCCTCTTCTGATAGAGGTGGTAGGCCATCTCCACATCAAAGCCTTGTACAAGATGACAGCCAGCGATCAGAGCTTTGAGATAGCCACACGCAGGGGAATCAAGCAGGGATGTAAGCTAGCACCCTCTTTATTCGCCTTTGCATCAGGGCTTCTCTTTAGGAAGCTCTCTGGGAAAATCAGCCCAGCAGAACTAGTGAAGCTCCTCACAATGTACGCTGACGATAGCTTGATCCAGTCGCATTTCGACTCTGCGGCCGGCCTCATGACAGCACTAGGGTACTGCGACATGCTTCTGGATCAGCTGGTAGAGCTTGGGTTCAAGGTCAATCCGTCCAAGTCAGCAATTCTGCTACAGCTGCAAGGGGGCTCAGCCTCGACCATTAGGAAGAAACTCTTTCGCCAGGTCGAGGGAGAGAAGTATGTTGAACTCCCCTCGGGCAGGCTGATATCGCTGCGCTATCAGGTTCCATACTTGGGGGTCATTCTTTCTTATCACGACTATGAAATGAAGACTCTCAAACATCGGCTGTCATCCAGTAAGCTTGCAATGTCAGAAGTAGCCCATGCAGTTCGGAACCACCGAGTCTTATCAGACAGACGTCGTCTGTCGATTTGGACAATAACTGCGTGGGCCTCTGCTCTGTATGCACTTCACGTGGTGGGGATGACACAGCAGGGATTGCAAAAGCTCCATTCACACATGATGTACCAACTCAGATTCGTCCTGCGGAGTTACTCCCAGGAAACGAAGGAATCAAACCAGGAGTTACTCCGGAGATTACGGATTCCCCACGTGAAGGAGCAGCTGCAAAAGAGAATGACCCAGTTTATAAAGAGACAGCAACACTCCGATCCCCAGCTTCTCCCACACTATAAGTTGCGTGCTGAGGCAGTTAGCCAGGCATTGGAAGGCCTCTCCACGGACTTCTCCTCGCACCATGTGGAGGATAGGCTTCTGACCTGCGGTGAATGTGGAGCATGTCTCTCTGGCACCGGAGCACTCCGTCGCCACCTGCAGAAGGCTCACCCAGATTCTCAGCAGTGCCTGAAAGGACCCAAATTTGATCCTATTTTGCATTCAATGCCAGGGTCAGCAACTTGCATCGCCTGTCGAGCAACATTCCGAACAGTGTTTTATCTGCGCAAACATGTCGAAGCATCTACCTGCCCTAGGGTAGAGCTTTTGCTTAGACAGCAGGAAGAGCTACCCTTAGAAGCACAGAACCGGATCTCACTCGTAGAAAGTCTACAGTCTGATGCCCAGGACAATCCAGAAGGCGCCGCTCGAAATCCGGCGTTCCATGATTACCTGATGGAACACTGCGCACTCTGTGGTCAGGTCCTCGTAGGCCAGAAAGGAGCCAAACAGCATTTAAACAAGCAGCATCCTGAGGTGATGGCCAAGCTGGAGAAAACTCTCCAACCAAGACTCAATCAATTCAAGGTCTTCTTCCACAAAGGAGATAGCTGTCGATACTGCAAACTTCGTGTGGATGCCCCGGGTAGACATGCTCAGCAGTGCGTTCCATTACTGCAGGTGCACGTACTGCAGGAGGTAGCGCGCCAGCAGCTCAGCAAGCAGCCCCGCGAATATACTCGAGCAAAGTCCACGGCATCGGCGAAGACAGTCACACAGAAGCCTTCAGATTCAACGCCAGGAATTCCTCACCCCGTGTTTAGACTGGAAGGCTTTCTCCTGCTAGCCAATACTCGCAACCACTGCTATGCCAACTCAGGTCTGCAGTGTCTCCACTGGCTATCAGATCCTTCAGAGGCGACTTTTCAAGAGGCATCCCGGATCAGTCAGCTTGCGAGAATAACCCCTGAACACAGAGTCTTCTCGGAGCTCACCATGGGCTGGCTCTTTGACGGAGGCCAGCACGACTCTGCTGAGTTCCTGCAGCAAGTGTTTCGGAATCTCTCTGCATCAAGATTTGGACAGTGGGAAACTAGAGCCTCAGTACCGGAAGGCGTGATAGTGGACGAAGAAGGGGGCTCTCCCATTCATCTTGCCACGGCGATCAAGACCAACTTACAGGACATGCTAGTGGCATGGTCGTCTCAGGAGCGCTCATGTGCTCTCATAGAAGCTGCACAGCAGGTGTGCTTAGCCTTGCCGAGATTCGCAGGTGAAGCTAAGGATCACACTCGCATCACAATCCCACAGCAAGTCCAGATCCCTGTCTTCCTGGACCACACATCCCGAGTTTCGTTCTGTACCTACACAGTAGAGGCAGTGATCATTCACCTAGGAATGGAGTCCACTAGTGGCCATTACCGTGCAGCTGTACGTACAGCAGATGCCTGGTATGTTGGTGATGACTCCCACCCCCCTAGTCCCTGTACCCTCGAAGATCCCCTGCTTCAAGAAAATAGCTACGTCATCTTCCTAGCTCGCAGCGCCGTCTCTCACGAGCCCCAGGACGTAGCTAATCTCCCGAGTAATGTCTCTGCAAGAGCTCTTCCAGCGAGCCTTGCGGAGATGCTCCCTTAGGAGGAGACTCTCCCCAACGATCGGAGGAGTTTCTCCCCTTGCCATGTGTGTACAGCTGGTGGAGTTTCTCCCCAGGGGTTTTTAAACAGTAGGAGAACATCAGGTGGAGCTTCTCCCCTCGGGTGGAATCACTCCCCCTCCTCGTCCTTCCAAAAAGAGAAGCACTGGGCAAAGCGACGGTGGAGATACTCCCCCTGCAGCAAAGGCCAAGAGTGGAGATCCTCCCTCAGGGGACCCCTCTCCACAACAGGCCACCGATGCCGCATAAGACTCTGAAGACACGTCCGATTCCGACTTCATTGCTTGCAGCCTTGAGGGGCGGAGCGTGTGCGAGTGCTGTGTTAAGGCACGGCTCGTCATGACTTGACCGCGCAAGTAGCAAGCAGAGCAGCAGGTCGATCCCTCGCAAAGCGTGGACGTTAAGTTTCACCTCAGACAGTATCCTCCCGCTGCGTGTGAATGAAAATGTTGTCGTGATGGTTGTTGCTATTGCTGTTGATGTTGTTAGTGTCGTCGTCGTGGTTGTTGTTGTTGTTGTTGTTGTTGTTGTTGTTGTTGTTGTTGTTGTTGTTGATGTTGCTGTTGTTGTTGTTGATGTTGCTGTTGTTGTTGTTGTTGTTGTTGATGCTATTGTTGTTGTTGCTGCTGCTGCTGCTGTTGTTGCTGTTGTTATTGTTATTCTTGTTGTTGTTGTTGTTGCTGATGTTTTTGGTTTTGTTGTTTTGGTTGTTGGTGTTGTGTGTTGCTTTTTTTTGTTGTTGTTGCTGCTGTTGTTGTTATTGTTGTTGTTGTTGTGGTTGTTGTGCTTATTAATGCTCCCGTTCTGGTTGTCCTTCATGTTGTTGTTGCTGCTGCTGTTGCAGAAATGGAGAACTGGAGTAGTCGTAGTAGTAGTAGAAGTAGTAGGAGGAGCAGGAGGGGTAGGAGTAGCAGTAGGAGTAAGAGTGGTAGTAGCAGTTGTGGTTGTGCAGGAGCAGAAGCAGCAGCAACAGAAGCAATTCAGAAGTAATGACAGTCGTCCTGTCGTCCTGTACTGTTAGCTTTGCACTAACAGAACTGCTGGGCTAAGTCACGTTCGGCCACGATTTGTCGTCGCGATTCCGATCACATCGCCTATCCGCCAGGACAGTGCCCGGGGGTCCTGGCGAAGGATTGGAGGATGGAGACGCGGATTCTTGTAGCACAGGGCGTTGAAACCTAAGATGACCTTAAGGCGAGGCTCAGACTCGCGGGGTTCGTCAGGTTTGGGCATCAAGGCTTTGCAGACAGGGACTTGGTGAGGAAGGGCACTTGGTCACTACGTTCTCGTAGCCTCGAAGCTGTACTTTCTTTGATATTCTACTTTCTAAGCTCAAGCTCACACAAGAACCCTGAACCTGTCAGCCCTCACCCCCTTGACGCACGAAGTACGAACATCCTACCGACCTGAAATCCAGACCGAATGGCGGTCTGGAGGCAGAGCCCGCATCGCTCCCCATTGAATTCCTGCCGAACCGGCCTGGTTGTGGGCTGTAGGTGTAATGCATTACACACTTGGGGCAACTGTCGGCACTAAAGATTTGCTGTGCCATCGTCGAAACCCCACTTCACGATCCAGGTTGCCTTACGGCGTTGGGTTTGGGGCGTGTAGACACGAACCCTGAACGCACCAGATCCACAATGCCAGCTGTAAGCCTGTAAGCTCTGACCCTAAGCCGTAACTGCTTGGGAGTCTATGGCCTAACCCGATAAACCCCTAATTAATCCTGAAGCCACAGTCCTCCTTCAGCTCTATCTCGGACTCGCCCTTGGCCACGTCTCTTGCCAGCAAAGTCCATGTGCCGAGAGGCCGGCCATGCATGTGGATCTGTGCCTGCGGTCTCGGGTTTCGGATCTACAGCTATGAGACCATACAAGACGCCATTGTATCTCCGTGTGCGAACCCATATATGCTGCTCTTGCTTCTAGTAACCATTACTTGCCGCAATTGTTTCGTGACAGGCTCTGGCCTCAATATTGACAACCATCATCAACCATCCTATCTTGCACAAAACCATGCTGTGTATTGTACATTCCCGGCAGACTTGACGAGGTGCCTTGGATGCAAGTGGTAAACCTGGAACAGCGACAGCGATGTAGTGATTACTAAGGCTTAGCATGGGCATGCAACAAATCGAACCTTGCTATGCCGCGGGAGTTATCCACATTCAGATGCTACTCTCCTTCGATATGAGTAGAGATGAGTAGAACATGCGGTTCAGTAAGTAGCCCCCCATGCCCTGGATAGCTACGCAAAGCGTAATGGCGTAATGGAACCTGCCCATCCATCTGCCGCTCAAAGACCTGCTTGTTTTCGGACCTGCCAGAATAGCAACCCAAGAGACCAAGAGAAACTCCAACGCCCGAGAGCTCTACAGACGTCGACCTGCCGTTGCGAGGTCCCAACGACGTCAAGCACCGAAACCCTACATCACCTATTGCTCAGAAAGAAACCTGAATAAGTAGAACTGGGTGTTGCAAATGGGTTTAGGCGGTTTAGGGGTTTGGAAGGTATGGGGTTTAGGGGTTTAAAGGGTTTAGCACCCTCCAAAGCCCCAAGGCAGAAACCTGGTACCGTATCGAAGAGCCCTTCAAAACCCCGGAAGTAAACCGTTCAAAACATTAAAAACCCTCATGGAACCTTGGACACGAAACTTAACCCTGCAGGTCACACCTTGTCTTGGCCGGCAAGGAAGCGACTTCCAAGCGTTGGGTGCGGAGACGCCTGCTTAATGTTCCGAGGTTTCTCGAGCGAAAGGCAGATAGCCTACATTAAGTGTCACATACAGCGAGGACGATCGCCTTCCGCACACAAATTCCAAAGCAAAGTGCGAGCTAAAGGGCTCGCTCATGGCCTAGAGCTGCTCATAATCATACGGGTCGACTCTGGCTGCTGTGTGGGTTTCAGCTCGGTCGGGGCTTGAGGGACCCCACAACGCGAGGCGGTCTAAGCTTGTCTCAGAGAGGAGATTTAGGGGTTTGGGTGCAAATCGTTTAGGGGCTAATCGGTGCAGCGGACAGGCTATCAACACAATGCGGAGAGCGGCGCCCACCCTGAAGCAAACACGCGCAAACGCCAAAACGTACATCCTGCATGCAGAGCCTTGTTGAAGTGCTTGCAATCCGAAGATGAGTCATACAATATCTGTATATATATATATATACACATACATACATACATACATACATACTTACTTACTTACTTACTTAGTGTAGTTATATGAAGTACAACGAACAAACTCGAAAGCTTAGAGACATGTTCCTGTGAGGACAGGTTCACCATCGACCCAAGGCCTTAATCCCGGACGACTCCAGACGGAAAACCTAAAGCTCCTCAACGCAGCTTGATCAAGGTCCATGTGGGAGTTTCCGAAAATTAGGGGTACCTTATATGGGGGTCCTTCTAAAACGGATCCTACCATTTAGGGTACTATACTGGGGTCCCCTCTTTTCGGAAACTCCCATGTGGAGTGGGACTTTTGTGGGTTGAGTCATGGCAGGACTTGGGGCTGAAGTGTTAATGGGGGGCATATTTTGGGCTCGTCTGCACAGGGTTGCTGCCCTCGTTTGCACAGCCGACGGAGCCGAACTGGAACTTGCGGCAAGGACAAAGCTCGAATTAAGAGCTTCTCTCTGATGAAACGGGTCCAAGCTTGTAACACTGACACCCCGGATCATGAGCTCGCAGCCCAGGCTAAGAATTTAAGAACGAAGGCCCACGAGCCACAGGCTTGCGGAGAGCCTGCGCGTCAGTCAGGTTGATGGTGGCCAGGTTAGACATCGGCTGGCTCTCTGTTCCGATCTCGAGGATGCCCTTGCCTCACTGCGCGCGAATCTTCAATCATGGGGTCCGGTTTATCGGCGAGGATGTCGCTTCAAAGCTGTTCCCGAGAGTGTAAGAACAAAAACCACCGCGAGGCCTTCCACGAGCACGTATCCAGCTGTTAGCTGCAGGTCATCGATGCCTTGGGTGAGTTTCACACGAAGATTGCTCACTTGGGACGTAGTCATGATGCTCGTCCGCTGCTACACACGACTCCGTCATCTCCTGCTTCCAGCTCTTACAAAACTACTCCAACCTCCTGCCATCCTGCCCTTGCGCTCTCTCTGTCCATCCTCTTTCACTGCGACTTGAATGTGAATAAGATGCTTACAGATACATTCTATGAGATGCACTCGCCCTTCCACTGCTGCTGCTCCTTGTCCACCTCCCCAGCCCCGAATCATTATCATCGATCCCCCCCTCCTTTAAGTACTTCTTGGCTTCCTGGTACTTATATACCCGTGACGAATACAACAACAACAACAACAACAAAAAAAACAACAACAACAACAACAACAACAACAATTTTTATTAGACGCTGAGCGAGCGGGCTCTGCTCATTGCGGGCGTGTGAGACTGCCTTTGCACCTGAACAAAGGTCTGAGAGCAGAAATGCTAAGGGCCTGGGCCTGAAAGCGCTGAAACAGGCTACCGTGAAGAGAGCTACCCTACAAGCTACCTCAAAAGCCGGTTCATGCGTCTCAGGCGTGGGTGAGAAACCCTCCGTCACCCTCAGTGTGGACTATGGCGTCCCATGTCCACGGACCGATGATTGATGAGCCGTACCCCCTCGGGACCGTCACTCAGAGTGCCTGTTGCGTGGCGTCCCACTCATGGTCACTCTCAATCAAAGGCGATGGGCCGTAAGGTCGCAAAGGTGATGAGCATGTGGAACGGCTGCTAGTGCTGTTATCTGAGGCCGCTCCGCTTTTGTGGGCAAGCAGATTGCATCGGTGAACGATGTGGCACACCCTGGCGGTAAGCACACTGTGCCTAATAAGGCTAACCTTATTCGTAAGAGGCGTACTCCCCTCCAGAGGCCAGGCTTGCCGGCAATGGCTTGGGGGCCTCGGACAACCCCCCATTCTCGAGCCGAGAATGGGGGGTTGCAAAACCTTGATTTTTAGGCCTCGGACAAACCCCCCTTCTCGAGCCGAGAATGGGGGTTTGTAAAGCCGATTTCAGCCATTGGTCAGCTGTGTTGCTGACAGGCGTTGCCTTTCTGGGAAAGCAGCGAGCGTTGCCCGACTAGCATGACAGGTATAGGCCGCTATTGCACACAAACGCTGAGTAGTGGAGCTACGTCAGCTGTACGACTTGAGCAGCAAAACTGAACAACAGCGTTCCTGCTCCCTGCCGTGTAGGCAGGTCGGTCCCACAGAGCCAGTAGGTCGCCCCCTTCCTGCAAGGGGAAGTAGGGGCCCCTGGCCTCAGGGGAACCCTCAGCTTAATCATCTGAAACTTGGACTGGCATAGGGCCAGCCTCCGCTGTGTGCGGTATTGAACCAAGTCGCACGAACAGCACATAGCAGCCGTGGCGTGCCTGCCTGAGATCTGAATCTGAGGCCTGAACCGACGGACGACCATCGTCCGTGCTGAGCCAAGGTTGATCGGGGTTGCTCCTCCAGAGGGAGCGATAATGTCCACTGTGCGGGGTGTCACCTATGTGGAAGATACAGGACTGAACCCATCCTTTCTCTAGTTGTACGGAGCCCGTCGGGGCCCACTGCGAGAGCTGAAGGGGGTGGTGCAGACCAGTGACAGCATAGCTGAGCTTGCGGCCTTCAACAAATCGCGCCACTGTGAGAACCACCAGTCGTTGCTGCCCTCGAAAGGCGGTGTGCACCGGCTGGCCAGACCACCGAGAGAGCAGCTCCTGAAGTGCATGGGATCCACCTGTCGTTGGAGCTGGCAGCAAAGCGAGCGGACCTCCCGCATCGGTGACCTCAGTAGTGTTTACATCCCTGACTTCCCAGGGTCGTGCAATCGGAAAGGCGGTAATGCCTGCAAATAAGGCCACTAGAAACTCCGAAGCATCTTGTTGTTGGCCATCATAGCGCCAAGCGGGAGTAAGATGGCGAAGCGTGAAAGAGGCAGTCAGGGTGAAAGGAGAACCAGAGACAGAATCAGCCACTTCCTGATGGAGGGAGGTGCTTGCCCCTCCGTGCTCCAGCAAGATGCACGTCGGCACCAGGGCCGAAAGCGTTGAGTTAACATAGCAGTAGTTGGAGATGTTGCGCAGCGAGCGAGGAGCAGCGAGCGCGCCGTCCTTTGATTCTACTGTCCCTGACTTCGGTGGCAGGGGGCCTGCAGGCGTTGCCTGGCGAGTCTGGGGCGTTGCTCCAACAGCGGTGGTATCGTCCCGTGTGGGTGCGTTGCCTTGTGTCGTGCCAACCGCTGGCATGTACCTGCGTAACGGTCCGCCCTGGCAGCGGGAAAGTGCATGAACCAAGTCATAAAACAGAATCTGAAAAAGGATCGGACATTGTGCCGGATGCTGCCTCTTATCCGTAACAGGCTTGCGGCAGCACGGGCAAGGCATGCCCTTGACAAGGGTCAGGCCTGATTTGCTGCTCTGAGTTGCAGCTGTAGCGCCATGAGCCGCCCATTCAGGTTTGTGGGCCTGCCGGATGTGAGACTTGAGCTTGGTATTGTCCGGGGTCCAGAACCCACACAGCAAGCAATGTGACATAAGGTCCTGAGACTCATCAGATCGTCCGAGCTCCACAGCCGTGTGTGTTGTCAGAGTGTCATGCAAGCGCTGCTGCCTGGGATGCAATCTGGGCTGATGCTGCGAATCCAAGGGAGGGTGCGCCGCGTCATCCAGCTCCTGTAGCCTAGCTGGCTCCGAGCAGGCACCTGATAGCAAGTGGTCCTTTAAGCCCTTCATCTGAGGGAATTGCCTGTTGCAGGCCGCACACTTGGGGAGCCCTCCTACAGAGAGGGTGTGGGAGAAGCCTCGAGGGACATATCTGATGACCGAGCCTGGATGCTTGCGGGCCTGGTGGGTGCGAAGACCGACCTCAGTGTCGAAGGCCTGAGCACACGTTGGGCACACGAAGGACGGGGGGGCCTCCTGCTGTGATGTGTCCTTAGAAAGTTGCTGCAGAACGTCTGCATAACTAGTAGAGAGTGCCTCCGCCTGGAGAAGCGCGCGCTGGGTTAAAGAGATGTCCCCCGCAGGAGTTTTCCGCCGTCGAGCACCTAAGCGCTTGACACGATTGGCCTGTCGCGCCTGCAGCTTACGGACAGGGTCCATGATCTCATGGGAGGCGTAGAGGTCAGCCGTGGATATGTGTGTCAGGTGCGCTGGCTTGTTCAGGACAGCTCGAATTTTGCGAGCGTGCCAAGCCCGCAACAGTTTAGCTGTCTCTAGGGTCAAGCCCACATCCACCAATCCAGAGGCTACTGTGGCCCAGACAGTGCTATGCCAAATGTGCAACCGCGATGCAGGCCCCGCCGTTCGTCTGTTGTGAACGAAGCGGCGTACCTGCTGCAATTTCACATTGCCCTCCTGCAACCGGAACTTGAGAGTAGCCTTCTCGAAGTTGGAGTAGGAGAGCATGACGCCGAGATACTTAAAGGACGTCACCAGCGGAAAGCCCTCGTGAGACTTGGACTCTCCCAGTCTCCACATCTTATGGCGGGTTCCGTCAGGCGCGGTGCGCCAATAAGTGTGCTTGGAGATGGCGCGTTGCGCCTGTTGGCCCTCGAGTTTGACCATAACAGTGCATTTTGCACCGTTGACAGCAAATCCATGGCGACGGACCAACTGCAACAATTGCTCAATCAGAGCATGAGCGCGATCCAGGTCCTCCATTGAGTGGATGTCACGGTGAACCGTAAGGTCATCTGCGTAGCCCGTGAGGTAGTCCACCACGGCTCGAACCCCAACAAGAGCTATGAGCTCCCGGAAGATGGTGCCCGTAAGCATGGAAAAAAGTGTGGGGGCAAGCTTACACCCCTGTTTAATGCCCGCAGTGGACTGGACCGTGTCCTCTTCACCCTGGGTGCGAAACGTGTAAGCACTGCCAGCATGCAATGAGGCAACTAGGTCAATGAGGTCTTGCGGGACTCCCGCTTCCTGCAGTGTGCTAAGCAAGTCTGTTCTGCTCACCATGTCAAAGGCTTGTGACAAGTCTAGTGCAAAGCAGATGCCACCTACTAGCTGGGGACGAGTTCGTCCCGAGTGAAGCTGATGCCTGGTTCGTCGGGCCTCCTGGCAGTTATTGCGTACCTGAGTGACATGACCAACGACCCTGCTCAAGGCATCTGAAAGACCGCGATGTGGCTGGTAGGCAAATTGTGGGAGACCCCGAAGATAGTCAGCCGTGTAGGGAGACAGCTGATCTCTACAAGCCCCCGCCAGGCCCTTGCCGTCTGGTCGAATGATGCCGAGGGGACGTAGATTGCCAGGCTTCGTGGCCGGCTTGTTAGGCTTTGGGATAAAACACAAGTCAGCATCCTTTAAGGGCGGCTGAAGTACCTCAGCAGCCGGCAATGGGCGTTGCCCCCGAGATTGCAGCGATGCTGCTAGCGCCTCTCCCGCAGCCGCCGAGCAGAGCCGCCAGGCAGCCGCCGGAGCAGAGCCTTGCGGTACCGCCTTGTGCGGTCTGATGGAGCCTATGTGCTTGGCCAGCAGACCAGCCGGGATTTCCGGCAGCGAGTCCACCTGGTGTGCGAGTGGCGGATGTCTGGCAAAGACCTGTTCCACGTGGTCTCTAAGCAGGCGGAGCTCAGAGGTAGAGTCCAACAGCAGACCATCCGGTCCCTGAAGCTGTGCCTTAGTTTGGGGTTCCCAAGGTCGGAGCTTCTTTAAGGTCTTATGTGCGATGTAGGAATCGTGTCTGGCACACGCCTCATCGACCTCAGCCTGGAAAGCTCGGTGTCGTTCCTTCTTGGCTAAGTAGAGAGCCTGCTTATGCCATCGATTCAGGTCCTCCAAAGACTGATCTAGGTCGGATAAGGTGGTTATGGAGTCCTCATGCAAAGAACGAATATGAGCGACTCGACTCCACATTCGCAGCGTCGCACGGTGCTGAGCAGTTTCAGGAGCTTGCTGAGGCCGTGGTTTGGGGAAAAACAGTGCAGAGGCCTCCAGCAGTACCTGATTAACTTCATCAGGCGTGTGAGTCCGAGAGGACAGACGCTGGCCCACCCAGTCTTGCATGCGACCGGCTATTGGCAGACCTGAACGGACAGCCGTCTCTAGAGCTTCCTTATGAAAGGTCGTGCAAGGACAAGTAGGCTTTGGCAGATTCCAGTGCTGGGTGGGTCTGAGTTGAGCCAAGACTGGAAGGTGGCCGCCCCTCTTCCATTTGCCGAGCTGAAGATCCTTGCACGGCCGAGACTTCTTTGCCAGGCCCTTGGCCGAGGCTTCTGAAGTGAGCAGGAAGTCAATTTGTGATCCCTGACCATTCAGGAAGAAAGTGTGACCTGCACCACTAGACCATGTGTTAAGAGCTACCAACCGATGGGAGGAGACTAAGGCTTGGAACGATTCATCCTGCATCTGAGTTTGCTCTGGCTTGGTGCTACACTGACCTACCAGACCCTCCTGCGGGGTCAGTCGAGCATTAAAGTCTCCTGCCAAGAGAAAAGTATCTCGCGCTGGAATGGCCCGTATCGCAGCCGACAGATCGCGGAGCAGGTGTGAGCGGTCATCCTTGTTCTGCTGTGGAGTCTTCTTAGAAGACCAGGCATGTTGGTAAACCGCTAGTACATGCACACGAGCCCCAAGCCACGGGAAGATGACCTGAATGAGCCTTCCCCGGCGTTGCTCGCGCCATCTTATCTTCTGCTTGTCTATCTGCGGAGAGAGAAGAACCATGACGCCGTCCGCTCGGCTTGTGTCGTGAACAGCCGGCTGCGTGGCAGCGCCTTGCTTGGGGCGTTGCCCTGAAGTGGCTTTACCTTTAGGTGCTCGAGCAGCCCCTTTTGTGGCGGAGCTTACGCAGTGCCAGCCTTCGACATCAAATTCTGCTGTCTCACTCCAGTGGGTTTCCTGAAGGACAAGAATGTCACAGACTGACTTGGCCTCCGTGCGAAGCCATGTCTTCACTTCTGCCCATTGTTGCATGCCAAGGTGCCCTGCATTCCAGGAAAGAACACGAAGAGACTTGCTGGCACGACCGCCTCTCGGGCGCGAGCGGAAACTGGCGGAGAAACCTGAGGGACCTGAAGGAGAAATCGTGGAGCTAGGCTGCACTGGGAGGGGGGGAGGGGAGGGGGGGGTGAGTCCACTGCGACGCAGATGTTCAGGCGTCAACGTACCATTCCGGCACGGGATGCTTTCTTGTGTTCTATGAACCTTATTGCAAGCCTTGCGAAAGGCCTTCTTGCGAATGCTCTCAAATGAATGCTGGTGCATTGGCGATTGCGCCGTCCGCTAGTTTCGCCGGAAAAAGAGAACTCGAACCGACTCCTTTCACCCTGCGGAAAAGGTGAAAACCACTACCGCTTACCTCATGCCAAGGTTGTATAACTGCAGACAGAGGTCCGGGAATTGGGACCCGGTAGATCACAGCGACACGCGGCTCCGGGAACAGCTATGGCTCAGTAAGAGGACGGTCCCTTAAGCTTCGCAGAAGGGGCACGTTGCGAGCCTCTAGCGTTGGTACCCAGAGCCTTGTTAGCAAAGCTACACAGCCTGCTGTGATCCATAGCGGCTACAACAACAACAACGACAACAACAAGAACAAGAACAAGAACAACAACAAGAACAACAACAACAACAACAACAACAACAACAACATCAAGGACGATTGCTACCACAACTCCACGAAAGCCAACAGAAACTAACGCAGGATAGAACCAAGATGCCACTGTCCCACTCCAGCTTGCCCCGGATCGTCAACGAAGCAAGCTCGGGTGGGGACCAATCAAGGAGCCAATGCTCGTCTGCAGGCACCACGCAGTTGCTGCCCGCGGTGCAGCGGTTCGGCATGGAGCTCCTCGTGACAATCTATTCTGGTAACCATCCTATTTAGAGAAACGGAAGGACACGGCAACAAAGACAATTGCGACCAAAAACTATCGCCTCGCGATTACCACTGCCTTGAGAGGTACAAGCCAGAAAAAGACATGGAAGCAGCAGCGAAAGCCGCTCGTCTTGGTCCTGAAAATCTGAACCCTTATAAGTTCTAACAAATCGTGCAGACAGTCGGGGCTCCAGCGGTTTGGGCTCGCCGCGCCGACACGGAGAGTCACCAGATCAGCTAACAGCCAAAGACAGGGCAGAAAGGCCATGGCGCCAGACTGCTAGGCGAAGCGCTCGCCTGTGAATTGCCGGGGCGGGGGGGGGGGGGCTGTTGCAGGCGAGCGCTGCCCTTAAGGAAGGCAGGCGCTGCAGCCACAAAACTATCGCTGCTATGGGTGTGGCTGTGGCCAAATGCAGACCAGGTCGAGACCAGCAATGCAAGAGCAATCACCTGGTATCGACATGCGTCATCGTCCTGAAAAGCGGACCGAACTTGGCTATGCCCTCGTGCCTCCGGTTCTTCTGCTTTCAGCTCGTTTTACTAGCCGGGTAGCTCTGGCGTCGGTAGTGATGTCGTCGTAGTCACGGCAGTAGCAACCCTAGCAATAGCCGCGGCAGTAGCAGCAGCAGCAGCAGTATAGGGAGATGTGACTAATCGCAGCAGTCGGTAGATTAGTGGTCAGCATGGCAGCAGCAGATGCAGCAGCAGCTACACGAGAACACACAGCAGCAGCAACCGTGGTCGTTGCCAAAGCGACAGCAGCAGCAGCAGCAGCAAAAGCTTCAGCATCAGCAGCAGGAGCAGGCATAGGAGTCGGAGTCGAATTCGGATTCGGATTCGTTGGCGTAGTAGTAGGAGTACTAGCTATTGTGGTAAAATAGTAGCCGTCGTCGTGGTGGTGGTGGTGGTAGTGGTGGTAGTGGTGGTAGTAGTACTAACGTACCTGTAGCCGTCGTCGTAGTACTATCATCTCGTACTCACCAGAATGTGTTCCGTGCTATTTGACATTATCGTCATCGTCATTGTCCCTTTCATGATCAGCATCAACACCATCTGCATCAACGTAACCATTCATCTTTGTGTACAGGAACATGCTGCACTGTCTCGGAGACTTCTGTCGAAGATCCTATCTTCGTGTAGGTGAACAGAGCGGATGGTCAATGAAGCGCAATTTGTTCTTTTGTCTTTCAAGCTGACGATCTGAGTGGGCGGTCTCTTGAGATGAACAAGGCCTTGAAATTAACGAGCACTGACAGTCCCGACCTCATGCTGGAGTTGCATCCACCGCCAAGGCTTGGGGTGGAAGGCTTAAACACGAGGAAAGCTGTTCTGCCAACTGGTAAAGACTTGTTCATCGCCAGGATGGAGTCCGCAGGCTATGGGCTGGAACGTTAGACTTTGCAGTGTGTGGGTAGAGCGCATGCGAATTAAGTTTGAGCTTCTGCAGGCGGAGCAATCCAAACACCAGTCGGTCGAGGAATGTCTTTGTGAATTCTACCTACCTACGACCTTAGCGATGAGAGCTTGTGGTGCTTGACTCTTGACGAATTTCAGGGTCATGCTTCTCTTGAAATGCAGAGGCCATCGCTCACAAGTACTGGGTATAACAGGACATTTTACTAAACTACGGTATCCCTAGATGCAGAACAGCGCCTCAGGTGATCTAAAGCAAACATTTCGGAACACTCGACCCCACCCACAAGGCACCGTCAACCTAAACTTGGGAATATCTTCAATCCATGGCAGCGCATAGGAGCCGCATGCCAGCTGGTCAGGTCATTCATTCCTCGCGAAAAAGCAGGTTGATTTGACAACGGTCTTACAATGCGTTTACAAGGGTTTGTTTCATAGAATATCGAGAAATGACCACGGGCGCTCGTATCCAATTCAATGCGGTCTCCCCAAAACCCGTGTTGACAACTACCTGACGCCCTCCACTGTCCCTCCGGCGGAAGTCCAAACCTGTGTAAGTCCACTGCCCAGCAACATAACCCAACACCCCGGTGTCATCACACTGTGTGCTGGGTTGAGCTTATGGTATTTGCCAGGGCTGCTGTTTACAGAAAGCGGACAGGGCTGTTTACTCCAGTCCCGAATGGGCATCTCAACCCTAAATCACGAACGATCTCCATGCTGGCAACCGCATCCTCTGCAGGCACTGCAGGAACTGGACCCATGTCCTCATTGACCACATGCGCAAGGCGATTGGAATTAAGGTTTAGCGATTTGGGGTTTATGGTTCGGAATTTGCGGATGAAGAAGTCTTATAGGCTGTACGTTGAACTCAGACTGACGAATACTCACTGGTTGTGCAGGCAAGATTGTGGTAGACTGCGACACACCTCCCATGGACTGCGACTTTTTGAAAGCCCCTGAAATATGACTCAATAATATCTGTACTTTCAGCATTGGGCGGGCCGGGTTCGGAGCTCGAAGTGAACATGGGGTCACGGCTGTGCTTGCTTTCATGGGATGGCTTTTCTGCCCATACCTACGGACCTACTGTGTAGAGAGGCTCGTTCGGGAAACGTAGAAAATGCAGAAAAACTTAAGGTCAAGGCCAGCACAAAAAGTCAAAAGGAGAACACGATGCACATCAAGCCCACAGCAACGACACTAATAGGAAGGTTCCGTAAGTGGTAAGTTCAGTGCAAGTAACGAAAACGAAGTGTCTCGAAGTGCCAACGACACACACACACACACACCGACAGCGTTGAGCTACTGCTCCTCCTGCTCCTGCTCCTGCTGACAAGCCACCACGACCGTATATTGATCCATAGACGTTGCTATCAACACCATCCCCCTGGATCATAGGCTACACGACAGGACCCCACTCGAGAATCCTTTCATCTGTCAGCGCCAGCCCGGTGTGGAATCATGTCTGGACATCGGTACTCATGGCATAGGCAGCGAAATTAATGCCTGCCAAGCGTGCCGATGTTGTAACTGCTTCAGCTGTAACACGGGAACGCTCACGAGTCACAACGCATGACCTCGGGTCAAGCCCCTTCAACAAATTCTGGATTGTGGCTTACCGGTGCCGCCTTATTTTCCTTGTCATTTTGACAGCCGGCTGCATTCTTGGCTGCATCTCGGTGTTCTTAGCTCTTGCGCGGGCAGCTGCGTCTTGACGATTTCTGAGGGTCTCAGCTTCTGCTGCTTGGCCGAACTTGTCGGCCATACAGCACCCCAAGACGTCCACTCGCTTGCCCAAAGATGCACTCCCTCAGGCCGACTTTGAGGGGTGTTTTCTGGCTGACCGTGCCATCCGCGTTCTCGAGACTGCTAGCCAAGGCTGGGACTGCACATGCCTCGCTGCGAGTGCTTACGGCGACCGTTGCCCCCGACGTGGCACTGGCAGGCTGAAAGGAATCGCCAACTCCCATCGCCTTCTCCAGAAAGCCCATTCGGTGTTTTGGCGAGGCAACCTGTTCCCCTTCAGCCTGTTTGGGTGCCTGCTTCCCATCATCGCACAGACCGAACTGCCGCTCCAGTCCATTCACACGCTCAACCAAATCACACTTTTCGGTCTCGAGCCTGTCCACTTTCCACATGTACCGCTCTGTTTTTAAGTTTTCGGTACCGACTTGATGCTGCAGGCCATCCACACGGGCGACAAACCTCTTTGCGAACTCCCACGCGTCACGCGCGGTCTTCTCGACAGAGTTCAATCGCTCGAGCGTCACCGACTCCCGCTGCACAAGCTGCTCCAGATGTCTCAGGCGTTGCATGAAAGGCACCTGACTCATGTCCTCATCCACAATTGTTTCATCCGTCCCGCCTATGACCTGCTCAAGGTTGTCCATGCGGTCCTGGACGCAATCGTGCCGCTCGATATGCTGCGACAGCTTGTTGTCGAGGTCCAGGAACATCTCTGTACATGTAGCAGCCTCATCTTCGAGTTGCTTCTGAAGAGCAAACTGTTTTTGCTCCATTTCCTGCTGTCTCAGCGCCTTCTATGTGAAGCTGGCGTAGAGCTCGTCGGTCTTCTGCTCGAGTTTGGCCAACTTCTGCAGCAAAGTAGCAATGTCACAGCTGCGCACCTCTTGCTGCAGCTGGTTCTTGGCCTCGAGCTGCTTGTCTTCGAGGCTGCTCAATTTAGCTTCATGTCTTGGCCGCTTTGACTCTGGTTCCGACTTCCCAACCATTACCCCTGCGGCACAGCATTCAAGTCCTCGGTGCACTTGCCGCCTTGCTCTAGGGGCCTTAGGGACAGATCTTCCTGCGTCTGCTTCACTCGCTGTTGCGCGTCTCGACGCTGAAGCTACCTCTGAATCGACAGCCCAGAAGTAGCCCTTGGAGGCTTGGAGGGCTAGTAGCAACAACAGGACCAGCATCCTGTTGTCACTGGCGATGCAACTTGTATGCAGCTATGTCATGGCAGTCCACGTACAGACACATCACCAACACACTTGCCTATGTACACCAACACATTGCTGCAAGCAGACTGGCAAGCAATCGTGCCGCCATTGCCGTTTTGCTACCACTCGGGTTGTGGCATTGCAATCACAGTCCTTCGCCACCCACTATCCTGCTACTCTCGCTGTTCTGTACTTGAAGTACTTCTTTGTTACAACGGCCAATCTGCATGCGAGCATGCAGGCATCAACATCGTATCCACGATCAGCATTAGCACGTTCTTGCAAACGGCAGTAAAAACAGATGACTACACGACTATTCTTCTTACCAGCAAGTTGACAGTGTTGGGCGCAGTCTCGCCACTACGGTTGCTGTTGCCCAACGTATAAGCTATTGCTATCGCTTGTCCGATCCGCCCGTAAGTGTTCTGGTGCTCTGCTTCTGCTGACCCCAGTATCGACCTGGCTGGTAAGGGGTCCAGGCTATGTCTAGCTTCGGTCGCCGGGAGACTTTCCGTGCTAAGTACCATGCAAAGTGTTCGGGGACTGTGAAGGACAACTGACACATGAGCGGCATCACGAGCCATCGTTTTGGGATTAGGGTCAGGACTTAGGTTGGGCGCTATCGGGTTGGAGTTTCAAGCACATTGCTTCGGGTTCAGGTCGTCTAGCCGTGCATTTGCACTCCCTAGGGTCAGACCTGATCCGACGTCGTACCCGGAGCCGTAGACGTAGTGTCCTGGCTTCAGGTCTTCGTGGGACATGGCAGAACGCGACAGATCCCACCTTTAGCCGCTGGGAGTTACATGGGAAACCGCTACTGATGCGTTTGGGAAACACTCCAACCCAAAGCACACTCGATGCTCAGATGCAGATGGGAACGCCCACCAACCTCTGAGACCCAAAAAAC